GCACAGGACGGGGCGAGCCTGACATGTCCCAGGGAGCAGCGGCCCCTCAGGCTGGCATGGAAATAGAGCAGTCCCCGTGAATGCCCACCTGGTAGAAGCTGAGCCCGTTTCACAGGAAAGGGTGCCAGGAAGGGGATTAGTGACAACGCGCGGCACGCACAGCGTCCACGCCGGAGGGCCATCTGCCTGCCTGCGGGAGCTGGCAGGGGCGAGCTGGAGAAGGCCAGCACACATTTCTTGGTGTGTGGTCCTTCGGCATGTCACCTCACTCCAGTTCGACCGCAACAGCAAAGCTTGTCACTGTCATCTCCATTACAGACTCGAATGAGCACTGAACCCTTTCTGAAGCCCTTCAATGACTAAATGCAGCAATAACCCAGTGCACGATGCACCAGTCTGACAATGCCTTCTCTTCGATTTGCTGCCTACTAGTGTCTCTGCTTAGGTGGTAGTCAAGATTTCTGTACCGCTGCAAACGAAGTCTGCTAAGCATGTACATTTTTCTGTGTCAGCTGCTATCTGATCAGTACATGTTTGTGTATTTACAGGAATACCTAAGCAGCAGAAAGCCAGTAAGAAATGGGCTGAACTCTCACAAAACTCTGCCACGCTTTTCCTGGGGCAGCTGGGAGCCATCGCCTTGTACCTACCAGTCCCTACGATACCTGCCTTTGGCATTTCACTTTAACAGGTGACAGTCCCACAATGATACAGCACAGCAAAATGAGAACAGGAAGGCTATCGTTACAAAACCAGAAACATGTCTGTGCTGGAAAAACAGGGAAGAGGCTCAGGGAGGGTGATGTCTGCAGTTCTGTGGGACCGGGTGGTAACCCACGGCTGGTGTGACAGAGGAGAAGCACATTGAGGAAACATCCCAAATGCTAACTGTGCCCAACTGCAGCGGTCCTGGCAGAGCCAGGCTGCTGAGAAAGCACCTTGCAGAAGCAGCAATCAGCAAAGATGGGATCCTCCAGCTCTTGACCGCTGGATCCTTGTTCCTAAACCTCCTCTTCACCCCTAGCCAGGCCTACTCTGTCTCTTCCCTGCTTCTCCCACTGAATACTCTGGAACTGACTTCCTGACAGAGTCCCAGATTGGTCAGGCCCTTGTCTGTGTGACACAGCCATAAGCTCGGGGCAGTGTCACTGCACCACTGAAGTCACCCCAGGCCCCCATGCTGTCTCTGAGACCAGAACCTGGACTTAATTTTTAGCTCTGTTTTACAGGCTTTTGACATAGAAGCTGCTTCTTGCTACATGTCCCTGTTGTGAGGCACGAGGCTGCCTGCATCTTACTCTCATCTCTTTTATAGGTGTGCTTAATTCACTTTTTAAGCTTTCTCCCCCTGCAGCTGGGGGGAGTAGGAATGGGGGAAGTAACAGGCACTGGCTGGCTTCAGAGTTTGTTGCAGAGCAGCACCAGCACTTGATTCCTGGCTCCTGTTTTTCTTACTTGCTTTCATCAGAGGGTAATTCCAGTCACTGAGTGTGTGAAAACCTCCCAAGCCTTCCCCAGAAGTGCCCCGTGAGGCTGAGCAGCCAGGCACAGAGCAAACTGACATCCCTCTCTCCTGGGCAGCGACGTGCCACGCAGCCCACCTTGTCCCCAGGGTGCTCAGATGAACGACATTCACGGAAATCCTCTCTCTGTTTAGAAACTTGTTTCAATCCAATCAGGTTTTACCTTTTCTGCTTGGCTGAGCTCGTCCTTATTCCTGAGCTTATCCCTGTGCTTGGAATCTGGGTCAATGCTTTCATCTTCTAAAAACTGCATGTTCATATTCAAAAGCCAAGCAGCAGTGCGGTCCAGGGCATTGGGGTTCACAGGAGAAGGGGCCTACAATGAAACATACAACCATAACAAAAGAAAAACCTGTAACAGAAATGGTCATGAAGCTGGAGAGAGAGAATTTCCTTTCAAGCAAGCCCTCTCCCATGCTGCTCAAGCAGCAACGAACAAGTCTGAGCTACCAGAGCAGTCGGGGCTGGGGGGCAGGAACAACTCCTGTTCTGCACCTCACGTTACTTTAGGTCAAACAGCCTCTGACAGGCCAAATTCTTCCCTGTGCCATCCCCACAGAACAGACGTACAATGGTGCGCTGCTGCAGTGGGGTCCGGCTGAAAGTAACGGGCCCAGGTTTCTGAGCAGGTCCTGTCACCTCAGAAGGACACGACCTGAGAAGGCGCCGAGCTGCAGGCAGAGTGGCTTCATGTGGTATATTCACTCTGCAAGCTGCGATTTCACTCAACTCTTCAGCCTCTGTTACTGAGCTGCCTTTTTGCTTGCTGTGGAGATTTCATACAGATAAAACCAGATCTGCAAACTCAAATGCTACTTTTGGTCATGCAGGTGCCTTCTTGGAAAATAAAGGTTTCTTTTTGGCTGAGACTACACTTACGATGCTGGAGAGGTCTAAATGCTTGACATCTTAGTACTTCATCTCGAGGTTTGTTCGTGTAGCTATGGGAGCTCAAGGAGCAGTGCTGTTCTATGGTCAGTGAGCTAGAGCCACGGCTGCTGCTTTCCAGTCCTAGCCTGGGCAGGGACTGCAAATGGCATTGCCCGAATATTTCCCAACCACATTACAAGGTTGAGGAAGTGAATCTCTAGCTATTTCCCCTCCATCCTGGCTCATTATAAACTGCAGTAAACAGTTTCTTGGATGAATGCAGGGGATCTGGATGACTTGGTTGAGGGAATTCAAGTTAACAAGTCAGAAATGTCGGGGACTTTCTCCTTCATTCAAACCTCTGGACAGCAGAGAAACCCAGTCACCGGCAAGCAGCAGAACGCGAGGTTCTGTACTCGGAACGAGTGGGGACTGGTTTAATCACCTCACTGGGGTTGGGGGCTTTCCCATGCCATCTTCCAGTCTGGTCTTCTACTTCCAGAATTTTACATCAGAAGTTTCAGACTCGGCTCATGAACATCACTTGCTATAAATCCTCACCAGGCTTGTGGCTTTCTGCTTTTTCTTGCATCTCCATCTCGGACACTGCACCTGTGGTGGCTGCTCAGAATTTCTGGCTCCAAGGAGCAGTGGCCACCCGCGTTCATTTCAGCAGCGTCAAGGCCACTGGTAAAGGATGTCAATGAACAGAACTCAGCCCACTGTGCACGGGTCCTCCTGCCTCTTTCCTCCTTCTCTGAAGAAGTAAAAAAGGACATCTGATCTGGCCTGGGACAGTTTGGAAGTCAGTTCAGCAGATGAACTTACAGAAGTAGAGGAAGCGCTTCTGGCTGGCAGGAACGAAGTTCATGGACTTCTACTAAAATGGCCACCAAATGGGATGTCTTTGTTCTCAAACAGCATTTAATACCACCATCTATGAGCAAGCAGTTTCATTATGGTTTACAGATGCTGCTAACATACAAGTAAAATGCGCAGATTAAGGGTAGGAGAGGCGTTCTGAGGACTTCAGGTCCTGAGAGAAACTTTGAGAGGACAATAGGGGTGGGTGGAGGAAAGATCTGCAAACACAACTTGGCCAGGGCTTTCCGAAGGTCACCTGGAGTTCACTGTTGTCTTTCTGGAAGAAACTCCGCTACCAAACAGGCTGCTGCTGCTTGCAGAGCTCCGTGCCCTCTGTACCTAACGAGTATTGATCCACATTGTACAAACGCTGCTACATGGCATGCTTGCTAATGTCAGCGCTTATGAATCAATACCGTATGCACAGAACAGCTCCAGATGGGGCTGATAAAAAAGCCTTCAATGGGCAGCACTGACAAAGGCCTCCACGGCTGCCTTGTAAAGGACACGTAGTTACACCAACTCTGTTGCTCTTTCAATACCGTACTGCTGAAAAGGTGCCTTACTGCTGTGTCTGGGCTGAGATGCAGCAAGCTCTTGCCAGTTGTCCACATTCTCTGGGCTTGCATTACTTTTAAAACTCTTTATTTAGGCACTGGAGGCCCTACTGTGTTAATTTTCTATAGGGTTAGTTCTGAAATGTAGAATGAATAAATGAGCACTAGAAAAACAATTTATCCATGCCAGGAAAACCAAAGGGCCCTGGGTCTGCGACCTTCTGCTTTCAATTTTAGCACCACGAATAGTGAAATTTATTTCTGTGCAGACCAGCATGCGGTCTGGGACCTGAATCAGTGC